GAATGCCATAGAAACGTTCAACCCTGCCTTGGCACTGGGGCAGACTGGGGACCCTCACCAGCATCCCTACCTTCTCTATTTCAGTCAAAACTACACTGTCAGCAAGAATTGGAGAAACTTGCATTAGTGTTTCCTATGACGTGCTTATTCTGCAGATAAGGGTAGATAAGACTGTGGGTTATGGGGCTGATTGGCACCCATGCTAAAATATCTGAAAAACTGGAAGCATGTCTAATCCTGTGTCTATTTTCTAAGGGCAGGTCACAAAGCCATCCCACCTCATTTTCAGAGATCTGCTGTAACGTGTAAAACAGCAGCTTAATATTTCACAGTGGTCAGGTTCTTCTTTTAAAATCAAAGAGTCATCTTTTAAAATCAAAGAATCAACATAAATGAAGCACTGGTTGAAAGGGACCTCTGCAGGTTCCACCCTCCGGCTGAAAGCAGGACTACCACCAACACTAGGTTGCTGTGTCAGCCATGGCTTTGCATAGCTGAGCCTTGAAAACCCCCAAGGATGAAGCTACCACCATCTCTGTGGGTGACCTGTTGTAGGGCTGCCCCAGCCTCTTGGTGAAAAGGTCTTTCCTCATGTCCAACTTGAATCTCCCAAGCTGGAAATGTGGCTGTTGCTCCTCATTATATCCTCTCCCATTACTTCTGTCACTCCCTTACAAATTTCATGTAGGCTGCTATTAGATCCCCCTTCACCAAAGTGAGCAACCCCAGCTCATACTGCACTCATGCTGTGATCTATAGCAGAAGGGAAAATGCCGATCAATACAAAAGTGGATCCACAAGTATTTCTCCATGTCAGGTTGGAAATTTCAGACTATTGTAACTGAGATTATTGAACTTTCACGCTGCCGTTAACTTTATGGCATAAACTGATCACAACTTCTTCATGATGTTTTATCGTAGCTTCACTCCAGCTCAAGGCTTTCAAATGCATAAAAATACAAAATGTGAATCTGCAGGTTTCTGTCCTCAGAGAAAGTTGACAGTTGATGACAAAGATGGCTTTGCTCTACCACAAGCAGATTATAAAATGTAAGAGAAGAAAGATAATCTGGATACACACCATTTCAGTACACACACCCATGTTGCACACGCACACACGCACCCATGCACCCATGCATGCCTATGCTTGCTACGTGCAAATAGTTTTTGTAATAACCAAGGCAGTAAACAGTCAAATGTCCCTCAATTTAGTCATGTGCATTGGCTAATCCTGAAAGTTTTGTGACAGAAGTTCGTGTTGAGAAGGTATTAAGCGGGCCAGGAGTATGGAAATCAATTGAGGCTGGGTTCCCAAGCAAAAAAGCCCAGGTGAAAGATAGTATGAAGATATTTGAGAAAGCCAGAGACAGACTGAAACCGGCTTCGTTGACAGAACGAAAACAGCGAAGAGGTGAGGTAAGGCATGAAGACAGACCAATGTCCTCAGACCTCTGTCACTGAGAGGGAAAACAGAAAGACTTTATGGGATGCTGTATATTGCTGTGAGGTAGCTGAGACTGAGACTTCTTCTGAGTTTGCATTTCTATAGCAAAAAATTTGCTTTGCTCTCTGCTGCTACGAGTTTAATAAGATCACTGTGTTTATATGCCTTATCTTCTGAGCACTTTACAATCACGTTATGCTTTTTAATCCAGCTTTAAAACAAATTAACTGGCATCAAACTATTCCAGAAGGGTACATTTTTAACAGACATGCTTCTTGGTTTGCAGTCATTACCTATTGTTTATATAGTGCTCAAAATTGGGCAGGGCACTTTGCAAGCCCCAGCTTAGAGAGATAAAAATCTATGCAGACCGACAATGTGCAAATGAAAGATGAAGTGGGGAGGGAGTGGAGGGAAATGGAAAGAATATTGGGTATTTCACCCATCTTACTCTCAAATGCCCAATGCATTTGCTATTTTTTCACACTGACTTTTGCCTGTCTGCTTTCCTGTCTCGTTCTAACTTTTGCTTTTCCATGCATTTGCCCAAACTCATCTACTTCCCTCCCTCCCAGAGAGAAGCAAACAAGCACAGGCACAGCCTGGCCTCCTTCTATAAAAGCTAAGTCTTGTAGGCGAGTTATAAATTCTCTTCTGCATCTTTCGCACATAGCCAGAGGGCTCAATTCTCATCCGATGCGAAGGAACATGACGCTTCTTTGGCTGGAAGAACAGGGGTTTACAGCCCATTCTCTCTGACCTATCTCAATACCACTTCAAACTGCAAGGAGACCTTACCTAAACATCAATCACCATACCTAGTGTGAGTCTCTACCACCAAAATCAATGCCACTTTGCTACCTGTGTACATCAGAGGATCTGACTGTGTTATTACAGCTTAGGAAAACACTCTGGATTGCCAGAAACACTCAAAACACTTTATTAATTCAGCAAACAAAAGCACTTTCTACAGCTTCATTAAGCAATGCAGCTAGAGCAAGCTTCTAATTTTTAACCAGCGTTTTCGAGTTTTGTGTTTTAGTGCTGAGGGAAGCAGGTAAATACCTTTGCTTACCTTCAACACGGGGCTCAGATGGCCTCCAGGCTCCAGAGTTCCCCGCAGCTGGCTTCAGGCTTTCCAGCTCCTCTCTCCTGGAGCGTGGTGGTCTGAGGGAGGCACAGCGATGTTTTCGGGCGACGGCCTCTATTAAACAAATAGCTGTTTCTCTCCGGGGAATGAGGAAATACCCCAAGTTATCCCTGGTTGGCCAGTGTGACGTTGGTGTGCCATCCTGTGTTATTGATTATTTTAAGGCAGTGTTCCAGTGGTCGATGCCTTGGCCCCTGGGACACGCATATCGGAGCAGTGGAGACCTTTTTACTGCCGCAACCATTTCAGCCATGCACAGTTTGACAGAAGAGGAGAGGCAGGAGATGGCAGGAGTGCAAGCACATGAAGAGGAACAAGGGGCGCGTGGCAGAAAATGTGGTTGAAGCACGAGGTGGTGGCACAGCAAAGTACTGCCGTTGGTGCGGAGTCATCTTCTGTGCAAAATTTGGCGCTGGCTTTGCTCCAAAGCATGCTGCTGGAAGAGTTGGGTAAGGAGAGTGGGGACGAGAAGAGAAGGAAAGAAAATTATCAATAAGACAGGGGAAAAAAGAGGGAGAAGGGCAGAAAGGCTGGAGAGAAGGGAGAGGTGTGACCAAGTGAGGAAACAAGGAAAGAAAAACATAATTCTAATGAGGAGAGAGTGGGAATATAGAAGGGAAACTGAAGATTCGCTTTGGCAAAGGAGAAGAGAAAGGTAGAAGAGACACGAGGGATGGGCCAAGAAATGTAAAACACAGCAAAGTGTATGAGGAAATGTTAAAATTAAACAGGGAGAGGACTCATACTGAGGAAAGAGGGATGTAGCCATTTTCTTCTGTGGAAAATGTGATAGTAATAACTGTTAAAATATGTCAAAACACTAAAACATATAAATATATAAGTTACTCAGTAGGTTAGATTTGTACCCAATCATGCTGGGCTCTCTCTTCAACTGAAAACATGTCCCCTCTGGCAGGCACCTGCCATTGCCCTGTTCCCAACATCCAGATGGAAGGGTAACTTGATCACAAAAACATCAATGAAAGGGGCATGTAAGTGAAAGCAAAGATGCAAAATATTCCACTCTCCACCCCTGCCATCTCTCATCTTCAATCTCATCTTTGGAGAAAATTTCTCACTATGAAAGACTGGTTGTGTAGGGTGGAATTCATCTCACATGACTTTAGATGTCCATGAGGTAGATGTCACCCTAGACTACCTTTTTTCCTAGTGAGAGAAACAGACACTTTTAAGGAAAAAAATCACTAGACCTATTTTAGGAGCTGCTGTAGGGTTACAATAAATCATTAATGGTGAAAGAATTGTAACACTTGTTCAGACCTAAATGTTGGGATCTGTGGTCAGATGAATCCCATCCATGAGGACTACCAGTGTGGCAGGGTGGCTGCAAAAGCACAGGGGCAAAGCCTGGGACTTCGGTCCCTAGGTTGCATATGTAATACTACCAGCATCAGAGGATTCAGGGAAAGTTGTCTTCATTACTGACTCACAGCTAGTGAAAATCTTAAAAAAGCCCATAGAGTGGTCTCAGGCAAATAAATTTCATTACAGTACAAATGGCAAAAAGGAGGGAAACTGAGCTGAACCCACTGAACCCAATGCCCCAGACTTGAACTGACATCAGTGGCAACAGCATTTCACTATGTTTTAGGTGGTGGTCCTTCAGCCCCAAGGAAAAGGAACAAAATAAGTCTCAGACAATCTTCAGACAGGGCAAAGGCACAAGGTCGAATGGCATTTAAATTATTTAAAGAATTAAATTTAGAACAACTTGAAGACCCTCAGCAATTTGCACTGACAGCTGGGGCATCTGGGGGGGATCTGCCAGCTTATGCAGAGAGTTAAGATGCAAATAAGGAAACTTCGTAATGACACTTAAGATGAAGGTCCCCCTAAGTCTCATATCCTGGTTGGTTGGAGTTTTTACAGACTCTTA